GTTGGATTAACATAGAAATACCCAACTCGCAATAAAAATAAATAATGATAAATAATAAACCAACGAAATACAGAAAACAAAACTTACCTTGTTCTAGTAATGATGATACTGCTAAGTGATTTAATGGAAGTTTGACTTGAATTTATATAGGTATACAAACAGGATTTAACAAACTGACTAATATGTAGGTTAGAATAGCGCTTAGACCTAATTTATAATACACCTTTATTAATGCAACCTTATTTCAGAAGTTAATATATAAATGTATAGATTGTAACACCCAAGTCTGTTTGTATTTATTGAATATAATTCCATCACAGAATCGAGAAACAGGATTTAACAAACTGACTAATATGCAGGTTAGTATAGCGCTAAGACCTAATTTATAATACACTTTTATAAATGCAATCTTATTTCAAAAGTTAATATATAACTTTATCTACCACACGATCAATCTGTACCTCACTGGCCCTTGTTCTAAAATGCGTCATGCTACAATTTTTATTCAGTGAAGTTGTCGAAAACTAATTGTCCACGTGTACCGATTCTTTGATGTAATTATACTCAATAATGACAGACAGACAGACAGTGTCGATCTCATTATAAAATATCATTATACATGATTGATTCTAGTTATTGATTGTAGGTAACAGATTCACGGGAGGGTGGGGGGCCGAATGGTTAGCACGAGCGCGCTGTATGATAAGGTCTGTTATTGAGTCAACTGGTGTGGTTTCCATTCCCCGGTTGTACGTGACAAGGAGTAGGGCTGCCTGTCCAATCTCGTGGGTTTTCTCCAGGTCCTCCAGCCCCCCCCCCACCACACCACACACACACAGTGCTAAAGACTCCTACGCGCAAGCGAATTATTGAAATAAAAAGGAACCCGAAATGACCTGAGATACAGATTGATCGTGTGGTAGATAAATTTATTTATTAACTTCTGAAATAAGATTGCATTTATAAAGGTGTATTATAAAATTAGGTCTGGGCGCTGTTTCTATACTTATATAAATACAAGTCAAACTTTCATTAAATCACTTAGCAGTATCATCATTACTAGAACAAGGTAAGTTTTGTTTTCTGCTCGGGGCAGAACAGTAGGACGTTAAACCCCATTTCATTTCATTTCGATAAAATATTAAAATATTTCCAAAAATATTACATTGGGGGGGGGGGGGCTATATTTTATATTTCAGCAAACTAATATTTTCATTAGTCTGAAAGAGAAACAATCTGATTAGAATACAGATCTATATTTCGTTCCGTTTTTTAAACTTTCGATGGCCTACAGTACATGAAGATCTGGCCGGTTGTATTTAAATTTCGAGTCAGAGGTCCTATGACGTTAGATATTGATTAATCAATCAGCGTTGACGTTTCTAAAGTTTTACCCACATGAAGTCGCTGTAACAGATGATTTCATTGGCTAATCCGTCACGCCATAATAACTCTTCCAGATCCTAAATTCCATTAATGAGAAAAAATTGCATAGTTTCGGCTCTAATCCACAAGCTAAACATAAACTACCGCTGCATTTAATTGGTGTTGACATCTTTATTGCATACTTCAGCGTCCGATCATGTTTTTGTTTACATTGGTAATGTGCGCAGAAAGAGATGTGCACTTCCGGGAGGAATTCCTCCTGGCAAGATGGCTGCCCGCTACCTGTCTCTATATTGAAGTCAGAATAGCGCAGTGACGTAAGATAACAGCCTGACGTCATTTAGAGCAGGTTGTCTAGTCCAAGGAGTATTAATATGAAACAGGCATTGCCTGAGTAGAGCGAAGCTAATTATTGTCAAATATAAAACCTTCATAATTAATTTTCTCGAGTGATACAAACAATGTTAAATAATTTAGTTTTTCAAAATTGATTTTTATTTAGATCTAAATTTTATACATTAATTTTTTTTTAAAAAAAAAAGAACAAAAAAGTGTGAGAATTATTTTCATTGACGTAAAAAAATATGTGACGTCATTGATTAGACGCGTCATAGAAATAGTTCTATGAGGCGCGTAATCTCGCTTGGACGAAATTCGGTGTGTAGAATTAAGATGCTAATTGTAGGCCGGTTGGGGAGGTTCGGGTGTTTCCGGAATCCAAAATGGCCGCTTTATATAAATGAAAATTTTGGGAAATACTAACCCCTAATCCTAACCCTAACCCTTTTTATAAGACTGAACTTGGATCTAATTTAATGTTTACCCCTCTTAAAAGGGTTATGGTTAGGGTTCGGGTTAGTATTCCCCAAAATACTCATTTATAAAAATCGGCCATTTTGGGCTCCGGAAATTCCCGAACCTCCCCAACCGCCCTACAATTAGCATCTCCCAGAATTATTTTTGTTAGTTACGTGATCTTGTTTGGTCGAGATTTGGTAAGTTGACATGCGCATTGCCTGTTTTCCCCAGTGTATCCGGTTCCTGTCTGAATTTTTTTTTTAATCAACAGTCTGTGGGTGACATTTTCAATTACGCTCCTACTCGACTTTGAATAAAATCATGCCGTCTGCACTTTTTTTGAATAGTATAGTATTGTATACTCTTCACAAAAAGTAGGGGATATTTGATTTTGGGGGCATAATACTAAAATATGCAAATGACTACGAAAACAATCACTATAGAACCTAACAGAAGAAACATTTCCAGTTACATGTGACGCCCAAACGCACCAATAGCTACCGCATGGAATGCAGGTGATGCTTGGGATCATCATGGGGGTCCAACCCAAGATTTGCACGACTCTGACTTTGAATGTTACAGTCATTGTGGCATTGAATTCCAGGGTGGAAACATCAGTTTAATTGTTTTAGTGACCAGGAAACAAATTTTGATATGCGTCGGCTTACCCAAAATGAAAGGTTACGTGCCCTTGGCATGCTACAGATCGGCACAACACAGGCGGTTGTGGCGCGGACGATGAATGTTTCTCAGTCTGTCATAAGCAGGCTATGGTCCAGATACCGTGATACACAATCTGTACAGGACAGACCACGCTCAGGTCGACCAAGGGCGACAACTCAAGCCCAGATCGATTTATCCGTACCTTGGCCTTGAGAAATCGTGTCATCACAGCAAATCAGATCAGCGCTCGTCTTCAAACAGACACTGGTGTGAGAGTGAGTGGCCAGACGATTCGGAATCGACTGCATAGGGGTCACCTTCGCGCCCGACGTCCTCGCGTGATCCCTTGTTTGAGAGATCATCACATTCAGGCAAGACGTCGTTGGTGTAGGGATCGTCAACACTGGGATAATCGACGCTGGAGCAATGTGATGTTTTCAGATGAGTCAAGGTTCACTGTTGATTTTTTGGACAGACGTAGGAGGGTGTGGCGTCGTCGAAACGAGCGCTTCCAAGACGTTAACGTCATCAGACATGATCGATTTGGGGGTGGTTCTGTTATGGTGTGGGGAGGCATCACTGTTGCTGGAAGAACGGCTTTACATGTTGTTGCAGGGCGTGTTACAGGCCAGTACTACCGGGACAACATCTTGGCAGTCCATGTTGTGCCGTTCGCACGACGTCATGGCCGTCGTTTCATCTTCCAGGATGACAACGCAAGATGTCACAGGGCCAGGATCGTTACAGGTTACCTCCAACAACAGAACATCACCACATTACCTTGGCCAGCACTGAGTCCCGACCTCTCCCCCATCGAGCATGTCTGGGACATGCTTGGACAGAGGTTACGTCAACGTCAACAACGTCCTGCCAATGTCCAAGAACTTGCTGCTGCGTTGCAACAGGAATGGGACAATCTGGACCAAAATGACCTTAGACGTCTCATTAGGAGTATGCCACGTCGGATCAATGCTTGTTTGGCAAACAGAGGAGGATTTACCCGTTACTGACTTGGTTGTGATGCTGTGGTAACTTTGCTGTTTGACCCCGGGTATCATTTTACCCTTATAATGGTCAGTCTGTGCCTTACTTAGTCTAACGATCATTTGGAATAAATCGATGAATGTGAACTTCATTTCATTTTGTCATTTGTTTCTTCGTCAGTTTCATTAGGTGACTTTAATAACACTTAAAAATCAAATATCCCCTACTTTTTTTGAATAGTATATATAGCTAAAACCACTTCTCCACCCTATCCAGCCTCTCGGCTGTCTAGAAACTCAGATGTACCCTCGATCTCTGGAATCAAATGCAAGTCTGACTTACAGGGTTCCCCGGTTTCTTTTAAAGGTAAGTGAATATCATGCTCAATAACGCGTGATCATGGCCCTGAACTTGTGTAATTAACAAAATGATTGGTTACCTTAAACCAAATGATGCAATTAGAATAATTCCACTCACGTGTAATTCGGTGGTAAATGAGTGATATATGTTTTCGATAAATCGCTTTTTTTATGTGTCAACTATCAATTACAGACTAAGTTGATTTAAGTATTTTAAGTACATATCACATATTATGCGAATATGTTTGAAATTACTAACTTGCCAAAGATATTAATTAATGAAATATAAAGGCATCTTATTTCAAGAGCAAAAATTCTACTAAAAGTAATACAGTGTGGAATTCCTAAAATTGGCGGGAAATATCATAATATCTCGGAAAGGTCCCTCGTAAAAACTGGGTTTCCCAACTGTTCCTCTGGGGTGACGATATCACCCCTCCCCCACTCCCACCTTGGAATTCCCAAGTGTCCAACACATTGCATAAACGAATTTTAGAAATTGGAGAGTTGACGACAAGAGGGTGGGTTGGTGTCTAGGGGCTGATTGTAAGTTCTTCATCCCTCCAAAAAAGAGAAATGAGGTTTAACGTCCACTCGACACAAACTAGGTTATTTCGAGACTAACATATGGTTATTTCAATAAATTACTTGCGCGTTAGGGGTCTTTAGCAGTTGGAGGAAACCGAGAAAAAACCACACGAGGTTGGACAGGCGACCAGTTGAATCAATGACAGACCTTATGATACAACGCACACACGCTAACCATTCGGCCACGCCCCCCCCCCCAACTAAAAACGACCACACATAATGTCAAATAAAATATTTAATTTATTTGTTATGCAGTTACGATGATCAATACAGCTTTATCATATAAATTATAATTTCAATGTCGTTATTCCGGGGATATAGCCAGGTCATTATTCCAAGGTCTTAGGTCAAATCCTTATCACTATCAATGTCGTTATTCCAGGGACATAACCAGGTCATATCTTTATCACTATCGTCTGAAACAAAAAAATAGAAAAACAATTTAGTTTTTATACATGAATCAGACAATCCGAATACAAAAAGTATATGAAAACAGCAGAGACAACCCACAAAGTCTTTCACAACTGAATAAAGAGTATATAAAATATATAGTTAGATGAACCCCTTTATTTATTTCACAGTTGACTAATATTTTATGTTCTAGAAAGAGTAAGCAGACTCTGCCTCGTGTACGAAGACCGGTACAACTATCAGGCACGATGCCAATACCTGCCCGAATTCATTAATATATTATTGACCCAAAGACATGTAGAATGAGAGAGAGAGAAATGGGGTTTAACGTCCACTCGACACAAACTAGTTCATTTCGGAATTAAATTTAGAATGAATAGTAAGGCAAGTGTATTAAAGATTAGTTCATTATGCTTTGAAAGAGGAAACATGACGATACGAACATAATTCAGTACATAGATTCTGGTCTTATAGACAGCTAAAAGCTAGGGTAATGTGTAACAAAATGTAATGATTGCAAGTTTTAACGTAATGGTCATGTTATAAGTAATGGAGGATTGTACCCCTAATTAATTACACCCCTAATGACATGTAATGGTCAAATACTAACAACCTAATGGTTACATTTACAAAGTAATTGGAATGTTACTAATTACATTGACAATGAAAATGCTTTACCTTACTGAGAGTCTTGAATCACATCCCGTTTTTTCCATCCAATTCGTGGGATTCGGATATCTGGTATTCGTGGCATTGGGATGCTTCGGATTGGTGGGATGCTTGGGATTCGGACGGCTGGGATTCGGATGCTTGGGGTCAACCATGCCTCTGTATGGACAAAAAGTAGTCCGAAAATCAAAACACCAGCCAATAATTTCATCTGAAATAATAAAGGATTTATTTGAATAACATTCTCTTACCATTAATGCTCTCTCTCTCTCTCTATCTCTCTCTCTCTCTCATAAATGGTCATTTCGGGACTAACATAAAATTTCTTTTTATTTCTATAAATCGCTTGCGCGTAGGGGTCTTTAACGGTGGGAGAAAACCGGAGGACCAGGAGAAAACACACGAGGTTTGACAGACAAAAACATGAGAGTTAGACTTGACTAAATAGTTAGTGAACTTCATCAATGCAAAAAGAAAGGTAGACTCGACTAAATAGTAAGTGAACTTCATCAATGCAAAACTATCACAAATGGAAATTAATTATATTTTAAACATTTTCTCTCTGAAGTTATATTATTCATAATTGAAAGGGTGGAATTGTCTTTCGAGATGTCATTTATATAAAACCACATATCATCAAATGCCCATAATGTCGGACAAAGTTGTAGATTCCAAAGTAGATTTAGAGACGGTACATCTGTCTATGGACTATGGGTTGCTTTGAACTGTTTCAGGCAGTAAATGTTCTAAGCTTGTTATGTATCTTTTATCAATATTCGTGAGCATACTGATTGTAACAACAGCCCCGCGGCAACCATAGATAAACAAAGAATGTTATATGTTAGTCTGAAGATGACCTGCATAAAGATGCCATGGTCTGAGCATGGCTAGGAACAGCGTCGAGTTGTTCAGTTGAAAAGACCGAACATACATTTTAGTATATTTATAGGTTTATAAATGATCAATTGCTTGTGATAGCAAAGATTCACACGCGGGTATGAAGACGGATCCAGGAATTTTGGCAGGAGGGGATTTGCCAGGTTCCTGTTAAGGACATCTGACACTGCATGATGCGACCATCGTCTTCCAATTACGTAGGCATACATACATACATATTTCTCGCAGTGTTTCATTTGATTAGAGCTAATCCCACTTAACACTGCTGTAATGGAAGCAAATTTATGTTCCAAATTATGACTAGTCAATAGTCCGATTAACAACCAATAGCTTACTGCTTAACAATATCATTACGCTTTAAACAGAGCTCCAAATTCGACCAAATATGTTTACATAACGTTACGTCATGACTTGCGATTATATTATGTCCAATTAACCAGTGCATAGCAGAATATTGCAGAAAAACTAATTGTGTGACAAAAGATACTATCAACACGGATACAGTGTGAACAATACTGTTTGGAGACGAACAATACTTTCACCGTTTTTAATACCTTAAATCACTGTCCAAAGTTTTAGGGCAGAGTGGGGAGGAGGTGCAAGCTGCATAACTCCAACAATGGTATTTTCATTTTACTTGCACGTCACAAATACGCAGGTTGAGGAAGACCTCGGTCTTTTGTCCATTTCGAAAGACTAACCGCTCAACATACCACATGTTCACTGAAACTCCTTGGCCCGGATACAAATGGCAGTTGATTTAACATAGAAATAACCCACTCGCAATTAAAATAAATAATGATAAATAATAAACCAGCGAAATACAGAAAACAAAACTTACCTTGTTCTAGTAATGATGATACTGCTAAGTGATTTAATGGAAGTTTGATATGAATTTATATAGTTATAGAAACAGGATTTAACAAACTGGCTAATATGTAGGTTAGAATAGCGCTTAGACCTAATTTATAATACACCTTTATAATGCAACGTTATTTTAGAAGTTAATATATAAATGTATAGATTGTAACACCCAAGTCTGTTTGTATTTATTGAATATAATTCCATCACAGAATCGAGAAACAGGATTTAACGAACTGGCTAATATGCAGGTTAGTATAGCGCTTAGACCTAATTTATAATACACCTTTACAAATGCAATCTTATTTCAAAAGTTAATATATACATTTATAGATTGTGACACCCAAGTCATCTATTTCTGACACTAGAGTCAATAATGTATAATTATGTTTTCTAATGAAATCGACACCGTCTGTCTGTCATTATTATTTATTATTGCATCACAGAATCGAGAAACAGGATTTAACAAACTGACTAATATGTAGTTTAGAATAGCGCTAAGACCTAATTTATAATACACTTTTATAAATGCAATCTTATTTCAAAAGTTAATATATAACTTTATCTACCACACGATCAATCTGTACCTCACTGGCCTTTGTTCTAAAATGCGTCATGCTACAATTTTTATTCAGTGAAGTTGTCGAAAACTAATTGTCCACGTGTACCGATTCTTTGATGTAATTATACTCAATAATGACAGACAGACAGACAGTGTCGATCTCATTATAAAATATCATTATACATGATTGATTCTAGTTATTGATTGTAGGTAACAGATTCACGGGAGGGTGGGGGGCCGAATGGTTAGCACGAGCGCGCTGTATGATAAGGTCTGTTATTGAGTCAACTGGTGTGGTTTCCATTCCCCGGTTGTACGTGACAAGGAGTAGGGCTGCCTGTCCAATCTCTTGGGTTTTCTCCAGGTCCTCCAGCCCCCCCCCACCACACCACACACACACAGTGCTAAAGACTCCTACGCGCAAGCGAATTATTGAAATAAAAAGGAACCCGAAATGACCTGAGATACAGATTGATCGTGTGGTAGATAAATTTATTTATTAACTTCTGAAATAAGATTGCATTTATAAAGGTGTATTATAAAATTAGGTCTGGGCGTTGTTTCTATACTTATATAAATACAAGTCAAACTTTCATTAAATCACTTAGCAGTATCATCATTACTAGAACAAGGTAAGTTTTGTTTTCTGCTCGGGGCAGAACAGTAGGACGTTAAACCCCATTTCATTTCATTTCGATAAAATATTAAAATATTTCCAAAAATATTACATTGGGGGGGGTGGGGGGGCTATATTTTATATTTCAGCAAACTAATATTTTCATTAGTCTGAAAGAGAAACAATCTGATTAGAATACAGATCTATATTTCGTTCCGTTTTTTAAACTTTCGATGGCCTACAGTACATGAAGATCTGGCCGGTTGTATTTAAATTTCGATTCAGAGGTCCTATGACGTTAGATATTGATTAATCAATCAGCGTTGACGTTTCTAAAGTTTTACCCACATGAAGTCGCTGTAACAGATGATTTCATTGGCTAATCCGTCACGCCATAATAACTCTTCCAGATCCTAAATTCCATTAATGAGAAAAAATTGCATAGTTTCGGCACTAATCCACAAGCTAAACATAAACTACCGCTGCATATAATTGGTGTTGACATCTTTATTGCATACTTCAGCGTCCGATCATGTTTTTGTTTACATTGGTAATGTGCGCAGAAAGAGATGTGCACTTCCGGGAGGAATTCCTCCTGGCAAGATGGCTGCCCGCTACCTGTCTCTATATTGAAGTCAGAATAGCGCAGTGACGTAGGAAACAGCCTGACGTCATTTAGAGCAGGTTGTCTAGTCCAAGGAGTATTAATATGAAACAGGCATTGCCTGAGTAGAGCGAAGCTAATTATTGTCAAATATAAAACCTTCATAATTAATTTTCTCGAGTGATACAAACAATGTTAAATAATTTAGTTTTTCAAAATTGATTTTTATTTAGATCTAAATTTTATACATTAATTTTTTTTAAAAAAAAAAGAACAAAAAAGTGTGAGAATTATTTTCATTGACGTAAAAAAATATGTGACGTCATTGATTAGACGCGTCATAGAAATAGTTCTATGAGGCGCGTAATCTCGCTTGGACGAAATTCGGTGTGTAGAATTAAGATGCTAATTGTAGGCCGGTTCGGGAGGTTCGGGTGTTTCCGGAATCCAAAATGGCCGCTTTATATAAATGAAAATTTTGGGGAATACTAACCCCTAATCCTAACCCTAACCCTTTTTAGAAGACTGAACTTGGATCTAATTTAATGTTTACCCCTCTTAAAAGGGTTATGGTTAGGGTTCGGGTTAGTATTCCCCAAAACACTCATTTATAAAAATCGGCCATTTTGGGCTCCGGAAATTCCCGAACCTCCCCAACCGCCCTACAATTAGCATCTCCCAGAATTATTTTTGTTAGTTACGTGATCTCGTTTGGTCGAGATTTGGTAAGTTGACATGCGCATTGCCTGTTTTCCCCAGTGTATCCGGTTCCTGTCTGAATTTTTTTTTAATCAACAGTCTGTGGGTGACATTTTCAATTACGCTCCTACTCGACTTTGAATAAAATCATGCCGTCTGCACTAAAGTCAAAGTAAAAGGCCAGATATAAAGATCGACAACATTCTGTTACTTGTCACAGGTAAGTTTTACTGTAAAATTATTATTAATATGTAACAGGCATTGCCTGAGTAGAGCGAAGCTGATTATTGTTAAATATAAAACCTTCATTCATAATTAATTTTCTCAGGTGATACAAAAAATATTAAATAATTTAGTTTTTATTGAGATCTAAATTTTATACATTAATTTTGTTTTTAAAAAAAGAACAAAAAAGTGTGAGAATTATTTTCATTGACGTAAAAAAATATGTGACGTCATTGATTAGATGCGTCATAGAAATAGTTCTATGAGGCGAGTAATCTCGCTTGGGCGAGATTTGGTGGATAGAATTATTTTTGTTAGTTACGTGATCTCGCTTGGACGAGATTTGGTAAGTTGACATGCGCATTGCCTGTTTTGCCCAGTGTATCCGGTTCCGGCTGAATTTTTTTTTAATCAACAGTCTGTGGGTGACATTTTCAATTACGCTCCTGTGTTACCGGAAAAGAGCTTTGCACAAGCACCGCGCTTCCTTGCACTTATCTTTTGACATTCATTGTTGTCAATGTTGTTGACATCGTACTAGAACTAAGCCTACTTGTCTATTGACCATTGAGGCAGTCTGTCAACACTACCCTACCCCAGTGGGCCATTTAATTGTCCATCTACCATTTTTGGCATCACAAATGTCATCTTTGAGATTGCGACAGCGCGACATTATTTACGGTCTTCCCTATCTAAGAAGGCCAAGGCTAAGCGGCAAGCAAAGCACCCACTTGACTCCCTGGACTTGAGTTGACTGTCTAGGCCCTAGCCTAGGTCCGTTGAACCGAAGACGTGACGTGAAGTACTGTATAGGCCTATGTATACAATTGATAATAATTACTTTATTTGACATTAAAACTAACGAGGCCTAAGTTACTAAGTAAATGTTTTGGATAATTCATTAAAAAGAAAAACACGATACAGGCCTATCCTATCTATAATACTATAGTAACAATAATAATTAATATGCTAGTTTGCCTGGTTTTATTTTTTAACAATTTGAAATTATTTTATTATTAGGCCTAATAATATGCTAGTGATAAGGGAGATTTTTCACAGATAAAAGATAATTTAAAATAATAAGAATATCACAGATAAGAGGTAACAAAGTGTAAATTAACTACAAAAAATCCTGTTTTAATTGGTTTAATAATAATCTTCCCAATTAAATATTGAATTAATTTAAAGGCTCAATACCACTCTTGTTGTAACTGAATAATATGTCCCAATCTTTATTCTGGTCAACAAATTGTACTATTTTACAATATTCCAATTAATTGATGATACAAATTTCATCTTAACACACCAAATTTAAAAAATTGGAAAAATTCAACTAAATGATTCGAAAAGCCTGACGTAAAGCTTTTCAAATGTGACTTGGATTTAAAAATATTTTTGAACCTTCTGGACAAGTAAAATAGGATTTAATGGATAATTTACGCAACAGGTAAGACACTAACACATCTAGTACTTAGAATAAGACTATTTTTTTTATTTTCTGGAGCTGTCAAGCCAGCAAGAGTGTTATTGTCCCTTTAAACAATCCAGTTTTGAAAATATTTTCTCCAAAAGGACTAGTTTACCACTTTATTTTTTTTCTACAATTTACTAGAATAATTGGCCTTCATATTATTTTATTCTCTTATTGTATATACATTAAATATATATATATATATATAACTGTTATTAATTCTGTATGAGTCTTATGACTTTAAATAAATGAGAATGTGAAATCATAAATGTGAATATGTTTTTTTTTTATTATTTAGCCTAGTTACTTTAATCACATAATTTTTGCCTTCCTCGTAATTTTCTTGTCTGTGGTTGGTCATTAATAATAATATTAATTATTAGGATTCACCTAATTTTTTTCTGGGATGGGTCTATCACTATCATCAGTCTATTCCTCAAACTAGTCAAAGTCAAAGCTAGGAATAGGCACATTAGTCCCACTGTTCTGCTCCGAAACTGGGATAATGAAGACGGGCATACGCCATACAGTGTGCAATGAGGGAAATTTTGCCCAGGCGGCGGCACTACGGCCTACTCTTATATAGAATTCCAACTGCCAAGGGATCTTTTACGTGCACGCCAATGTGTACACGGGACCTCGGTTTTTCGTCCCATCCGTACGACTAGACAGCCGTCCTTGTCAGGCCCTCCGTCCTGCATCATTGACAAGGGGAAACCACGCCGAAAAATCTGGATGCACTTTCTCGGCCAATGCAGGGATCGAACACCCGACATTTGGGGTCATAATTGTCCAAAACTCTATTTTAGGCGCTTGTCAAGTTATCTGTGCCACGGCGTATTTGAAAGTAAAATAAAATAAAAATACTAAGAGTATTACAGTGTGGAATTCCT